ATAAAATTATAGAGCATTGTTCTCTGGCGCTGAGTGTTCCCTGATTATCCAACCCAATCTTTACAAGCCAGCAGATGCTGAATATACTGTAAATCAAAAACTCTCCTTGGGGTTTGAGCAATTTTGTAATTTCCTTCTGGAGCACCAGAATTATTTTTTTTCCACTTATGAAAGTGAAGCTTATCAGTTCAAATGTAGATTTCTAGCAACTTCGATCAATTCAGCACCATTCCAGTCTCTCTCCCAACCCTCTCTTTCTCCCCCTCTCCCTCCCCATTTACAGCTCTGTAATTAATCCTCAATTTAAAATTTTTCAAAGAAAGCCAATCCTGATGCTTTGGTCTTTTTAATGTGGTTATTTGATAGTGGACTGCATTTCTTTTATCTGTCTGCTTCATCCTGGACTTCTCTTTGACCTATTTCTGTGCTTCTTAAGAAAATAAGAAAAGGTACAGCATCTTATGGTGAAGAGAATATTTTTTTCAGGAAAAGCAACTCCAAATCCACAAATGTTCTTCTATGGCTCCAAATGCAGTAACTTTCAACTTTGTGGCTAATATATGGAATTAGCTATATAATCCAGTTTAGTGCAAGTTAACTCAAAGTATGCCTGTTTCTTTTTTTAGTGAGGTTTTCTTTTATATAAGTAAGCAATTAAATTCAACTTCAGGTACAAGATTCTAGAGAAAGCAATTGTGTCCCTTCCTTATCGAGTATAAGGCCTTCTCATTTTATTTTATTTTATTTATGTTCCCAGACCAATAAAGCACAAGACTTAATCTATGATTTAAGTATCCAAGCTTCTAAAATTAAAACATACAAGCAGAATCAGATTTTGTCAGAAAATACCTTAATATCATCAATCAACATCATAACATCCTGCGACATGTAGAAATCACTCAAGTCAAAGATGATTGGGTAGCAAACCACCGTTTTCCCCAATATTCGATAAATCTGTAGAATAAACCATCAATGTCTCAGATCCACGAAACCCAAACAATCAGATCTTCATCTTGATGAGAGAAAACTCTAAATTCTATGTTATAGTTAAAACGTTTTTCATTTTCGAGGCATCCAAGCAAGCCAAGCTAAAAGTTTGGTGGGACTTCACAAACTAACATGATTATAGGAATACAAGTTCTATCCACTAATTACACTGGAACACCTATGAGAGGTTTCTCCTAAATTACTAATTATTCTTCTTAAGAACCTGCACAAAAAGGGTTGATCAACTAACCTTAGATAAGATTTGCAACTTCAGTTGTAAGCCATGAAAAACTCAATGGGCCCTAATTCCTGAAAAGGGAGCAAAAAGCTTCGCTCCAAATTTCTTGCCAAGCTTAAGAGAATAATTTAGACCACCTCCAATATTTATGCTAACTAAACCATGCAGAATAGTAATTCTCTGTAAAAAAAACCTTTGATGTTCCAAGGCAACCAATTGGCCGATCGGGTCTTCCTGAGAGGCCCAATTTTCCGTTGATGCCCAGATGGAAATAAGCCTGTAAAACAAGATAATGTAAACATTGCATGCACACACACACACAAACACACACACACATACACAAAATCCAACGTTCAAAGAGAAGGTCTAGGGTAGTGTGTTTGGGAAGGATCGAAAAGGAGAATTTCTTATTCATTTTTTTAAAAGGATCAAAGGCTCCTTCAGGCAAAATCAGAATATTTATGATCTTGGAGCCCGAAAGAAGAGACAAGTGGATGGGAGACGGAAAGGGAAATGATCTGGAACACTCTTTAAAAGAAAAAGAAAAAGTGGTCACCATTTCTTACTTCTTGCACATATGATTGCCTCGGTGAACAGATTAACTGAGTTCTACCCAAAGCTTTCTGAGCCAAGGAGACTGCAGGGAGGCCAGTCAATGATTCTGCAGCAGAATTACCTTTTCAGAAAGCGAAGGTCAGCCTCCCACTGGCATTATTGGAGTGGCTTGGAAAGAAAACCAAGCACGTAGAAAGCAAAGAGAAAGGATGGCAGAAATCGAAGAGAAACTCCACTTAAAAACTGCACCTGGGAACAGGCACAAACCTCATCTATTCTTTGCCTTTCATGGAACGGCAGACCCATATTTAATGGCATCCTGTTAAAACGTATTGAATTATGGGCTGGGCCCCCGTTGCCTTTGGTGGTAGCTCATAAATTATGGTATGTCAGAGCTAAGCTGTTATCAATGCTCTATGTTGAGTTTATAGGACTCCCTTCCTGAAAAAGTTATATGGGATTCCAATTTATCTGAGGATTCAGTTCAAAGAAATATTGGTGACATCTCAGGGAGTTTTGTTTGCAGGCTGGAAATCTGAAGGGCTTCCTTCTCTTCCTCTCACTTATTCCTGTCCTGCCCCAGCCAGGCATGGTGGGGTGTTAAGTGTTTGGAATAAAATAAACATCCATAATTGAAATACACTGACTATATAAATGGATTTATTATTTATCGGGTAAAAAGTGGTGGTCTATTTTTGGGGTGTTTTTTTTCCCCTCAGCAGACTAGGTAGAATTGTTGCTTTGTTTATTTCTGGGCACTTTAAATTTTTTAAATTTAGACTTTTTTTTAAAAAAAATGAAAGCAAGAAACAAAATATTGACATATAAATCAGATCTCCTCTCCATTTCTCTGTCTCTCTCTCTCTCACACACACAGGGTTAAAATAAAAAATACGACACCTTCCTCATCTTTTTGCCACATGAGTCCAATGTACCATATAAAAATAAGACATTCATCTGAAAAAGATGGACACTTAGTCCTCTAAAACAGCTTTATTTTCACAAAGGTCTAAGGAGAAGCAGACTCTCATTGAAATTATCCAAATTATTTGACACGTTAATGGATTTCTCTGCCGAGATATATATGATAATCACTTCTTTGTTTTTTTAAAGATTCACTTACTACTCAAAATAAGTTACTCTCTGAAATTCAATTCCATTGAATCCCTGTCATGTCTCTACTGCACCTAGCATTGCAAGTAGCAAAAACAAAGGAGAATTGAACTATGAACTCTTTTTCTACTTATTTCCCAATTCAGTGATTTCCTATAACTACAAAGCTCCAATTGATGGATGATTCTTGGGGCAAATATTTTCTTTCTTCTATTTTTTTTAATCAAATCAGATCCACCAAGGAAAAGGAAGGAAGGAAAAGCCAGCATACAAAAACTTGTGTTCTTCTCTTTCCTCCCTTTAATCATGTCCATTCTCGGACACTTCCTGCATAATTCCCTGCAGTTTTCTTGGCAATTTTTCCCCCAGAAATGGTTTGCCATGGCCTCCTTCCTAGGCCTAAGTAAGAGTGTCTGGCTCAAGGTTACCCAGAGTGCCTCAGGTGGGACTAGAAATCACAGCCTCCTGGTTTCTAATCTAATGCTGAAGGAAAAAGCAGCATGAAGAAATAGGTAGATGTCTAACAAACAGTTTCGTCATTGGGATGCATGTCGTTTTGGAAACATATATTGCCTGTGACAATTTTATTCACTGAGTAATCTCAGAATATAAACATGAATAAGTTAAAACCTATTTGCTCAACAAAATTTGAATTGGACCTTGTTTACAAATGAGATGTGTTTGGACTAGAAAGATTTGCTGTTCTAAGCACTAGAGCAAAACAATATTAGAAGAGGATTTTCTATATATAAAAGCGAGTGTATCATTTATTCCATTTTCTCATAATTCATTTCTAGCTATTTCTAGGGTGTTCCCGATAATAAAACCTGTGTTTATTGATGTGTGTGTGTGAGTGTGTGTGTATGTGCACATATATAGTTTTTTAAATTTGATATAAGTAATACCAAAATAAAAGCAATTTATCATAGCCTAGGAAACACTGGTTTTAAAAAGAAAATGAAAAGATTTTTTTTAAAAAAAAATCCTAAAGGTGATAACTTACCTTCACAAGCTCCTGTTGAGGCCAAATTTGGATGGGTTCAACTTGTTGTGGTGTTTGTGTTTGGATGCCATATGTGTTCAGAAACACCTGCAAGCTGTTGTTGTTTTCAGTGAAAACATTACAAAGGGACATTAGTGTAACAAAACTGGAATCTGCTTTCAGTAGACCATGTTTGAAAGAAATTTTACTCTTACAAATGGAATCAAAGCTAGGCTGGCTGTAATAATCTTTATGACCGCTTTTAGACTTTCAAGGATAGAACTACCATCATCATCATATCTTAATGACCCCATAATCCCTTGTGGGGTGGAGCCTGGGCAACTGAATGGAGCTAGCAGAGTGTTTAATGGCCGGATGCCCTTCCTGCCACCAATGCGGAGTTTTGTTCAGCAGATGTGTTTTGTTCTCAGTGTGAAATATCTGCCTCTACCTAGGATTGAACTCACAGCCTCCTGATTTGTGAGGCGAGAGCTCCACCTCTAGGTCACTGCATCACTCCAAAGATAGAACTACCATGTAGGTCCAATTATCTCCAAAGGGTCTTGGAAGGGTCTGCCTGTGTTCACATGCTCATAGAACATGTTACGACAGAAGCACACCAATCTTGTAATAGTCTAATGCAATGTATCTGTCCAGCCTATAACTCTTGAACCTGCCTGAGCTAAACTGGAAAGCTGGAACCCACATTACGTATCTGATATTAGCACAACTGAGAAAGTCCAGAAATATTTCACAAGAAGAGTTCTCCACTCCTCTACTCGTTGTAGAATACCTTATGCCACCAGACTTGAAATTCTAGACCTAGAAAACCTTGAATTACACTGTCTTCAGTCTGATCTAAGTATGTTATATAAAATCATACATTGCAATGACTTACTTGTCAATGAATACTTCAGCTTCAACCATAACAACACAAGAGCACACAATAGATACAAAGTCAAGGTTAACCACACCAAACTTGATTGCAGGAAATACGACTTCAGCAACAGAGTGGTCAATGTCTGGAATACTCTACCCGACTCTGTAGTTTCTTCCCCAAACCCCAAAAACTTTAATCTTAGACTGTCTACTATTGACCTCACCCCTTTCCTAAGAGGTCTCTAGGGGGTGTGCATAAGCGCACCAACGTGTCTACCGTCCCTGTCCTATTGTTTCTTTTATTTTTCTTTTATTTTTCTTATATTTACCCATTTCATGTATTCATAACTATGTATACACTTATACTTATTATCTTGTAAACAATTGACAAATCAAATAAATAAATAAATAAATAAATATGGCTGGTGACAAAATTCAGATCTGAACCAAGAATTCTTCCCAATCCATCACTCCTGAGATCAGTTCTGGACCAGGGGGCTTGGACTTCACTGGAGGTTTCTGCCTGATCTTGAAGACCATTGTGTTAATTACAGTAATTTGTTGATCGGGAGAGGGAAAAGCCAAGCTCCTGATATTAATTTCCAGCCTGACCCATCAAAACCCAAAGAGTTCACTCTCTGCTTCTTGACTGCAGGACGTTGTTGAAGGAGCGATGGAGAAGATCTGTGGGGTTTCCCCCACAGTCTCCAGAGATCATGGCGTTCCCATCTAAAGTACTGGAATCACCCAAGTGGCACATTGAAAACCAATCCACGAGATTTATTGGAGAGCTGAAGGACTTACCGCTGGCTTTCAGCAAGCAAGGCAACGTGGACCACGAGGTCATTTTCCAAGGGACCCTAAAAGGATAAGAAGAAAAAAAGAAAACTTGTTTTTAATTGGAACTCTCTATCTGATTGTTACCCACCGCACAATGTGAAGCCAAATGGGAACAATAACCTTCCATTAAATATGACTGGCGTTTTCTGCCTGCGTGGCTGCTTTTCGTTCATTCTTTATTGCCTGCTAATCAATTTGGTTACGCAAACAGGACAAAGGAACATCAGGGAAACAACAGGCATAAATCTCAGTGCCACCTGAGGAACTGCGCTGTCAATAATTTTTTATTTTTTTTGAATGATGCACTATTGAAATGGTAGGAACAGATTGTGGTGGTGAAGCAAGGAGAAGACACCATATGAACTTTTGATTGATTAGACTTGCGCGTCATTTTTTAAAAAACAAAAGCATTTTCTACTAGTCCATGAATGTAACACTACCGGTTATCTCTTAGCACTGGTGTATAATTTTGATGTATAACAGATGTTCTATGAAGCAGACAGCCTACATGACTGCACATGCAGAGTTTATTTACCCAAAGTCCTTTTCATTCCTTTTTATGGGCAGATTCCGTATGTGTATTTGTCTGTGTATAGCGATGAGACCCCATCCATAGAAAAAATGATGGAACTGTCACTGCCTATGGACATACCAGAACTTGGGAGTCTGACTGAAGGCACCGGCAGGGCATCAACTATAATTTTATCTGTAGGGTTTTTAATTGGGCAACTTCAACTGGCATGATTGTCGGTGTTCCAGGAAACCTCCACTCCAACAAATAACTCGACACAGACATCTTCTCAAAAGTTCTTTTTATTTCGGATAGTAAACTGGCACAACTGGGGAATCCCGAATCTAAAAGTTCTGGGCTTCCTTGCAATAAGTTAAAAATACAAAACTACCCCCTGCACCCATCATCACATCACATGCCCCGATCACCATCTGTCCCAACTTGAGACTTCCCCTCACTTATGCGCAAAATAACATGACCTTGACTTAGAAAAAGAATGTTATTATGTCTAACTACATACACTCCAAGAAATTCCCCCCTCCCATTTTCTCAGGCTCAAAATGTGGCTGTGTCGGAGCATCTGGTCTCAATATGGCTTCCAAAGCTGACAATGATAATAGTATAAAATAAAACTATGTACACTACACTGTGTTTGCTTGATACACACTAGAAAAATCTGGGCAGTTTCTATACATGTGGACTTCAACTATCATAACTCTCAACAATGGCTACTTTGGCAGAAGGATTCTAGGATAAGATAGCAATAGCACTTAGACTTATATACCACTTCATAGAGCTTTACAGCCCTCTCTAAGCAGTTTACAGAGTCAGCCTATTGAGTCGTCATTTTACTGACCTCGGAAGGGTGGAAGGCTGAGTCAACCCTGAGCCGGTCAGAATCAAACTGCCAAACTGCTGGCAGTCGGCAGAAGTAGCCTGCAGTACTGCATTCTAACCACTGCGCCACCACGGCTCAAGATGTCTAAACTGTGCATCTAGATCGCACCCACGTTGGTGAAACCTGCTACACAAATGTAACATAGATTGCTTTCGTTTGAGAAAAAAACTTGGAAAATAATCAGTGTTCTCTGTGAAAAGTAGAAGGACACCTTACTTATTATTTAAGGATTTTAAATATTTACAATCCTCCTATGAATTTAAGAAGCAGTTCCACTTATTGTAAATCAGGCGTTTGTGACAGCAAGGTGGTGTGGATGTGATGCAGGATTGAAACTGTTCTAGAGTAGAATAATAGAATTGTGGTTAGAACTTGGCGTGTGGTTTAAACTTCACAGTAACAGCTGAGCAATATGCACGGGCTCCCCACTCCTGACGGGGTCTTGATTTAATCAGGATCAAGATCATTGGAAATTTGCCATCACAATATCTCCAGCCGTTTGATCTGAACTTCTAATGGCTTCACAGCAGCCTGTTGACTGAGTTCCTGGGCAGGACCTCTGTAGCACAACAGGAAAAAACTGAAGTGCCGTGGAACACATTAAAAGGTCAACATATTGGGAAGGGGTTGTTTTAAATGAGCAAAGCAAGACATGGAGGGATGTCTCAATTTCAAAACATAAACAAACACCCTGACTCCATTAATGCTTTATTTAGCCTAATGCATTAATGCTTTATTTAGCCTTTTGAAGCCTCAAATACAATTGATTCCAGCAAGGTTAAATGTAAATGAGCTTTTAACATAGAGAAGAAGAAAGGACTGGGAAAAGAAGAAAATTTTTATGATTCGTTTCTTGGGTCTGTGATCCTGTTTTTGTTTGCTTGTTTGACTGAGAGAAAAAATGCTGGAATGGAGATATTTTATGACTGGAAGCAAAAGAAGCAACATCTGCAGAGAACTGCTACTGTCTGATCCTGTCTATACCAGATAAAGTTTTAGAACTCAAAAACAAAGCCCTTTTATGAAGTACTTGTCCGTTTCAGTTGGAAATGGGAGATTCATAAGAAAAACAATTCGGGGGAATTACCCAAAACACGTTATCATTTCTGTGTTGTAGGAGAGAACCATTTTAAATGCAGATGAGCATTTTTACATATGGAGCCATTCATGCATGAATTCCAGTTACGGGGGGGGGGGGGGGGAAATAACAGCCCTTCAATAGATCTGTTTTCATGATAAGTTTTTAGAAAAAGTACCATTTTCTAGAAAATAGCTTCTATCCCAAATCCCAAGTTTGATTAAATTGTTTTATTACTAATGAGAACTACATGAGCTTCATTAATGAATGAGATTGCCTTTTAAAAGAAAGTTCAATTTTGGCTGACTGATTGGCTTTTACGAAGCTATCTAGTATTATATATACATATATATTGAGATGACTAAATGGATTTCCTTAATTTGCTTTGGAACAAAAATGAGATAGCTTAATCCATTGAAGTAAACTCTTTATAGAGGACAAGAAAGCAAGCTTAGTTTCTGAACTCACAAGGAAGCTTCCAGCTTCAAATTCCACGGTTTGGGAAGAAGCAGGGGGAATCTGGTTTCTTAATCCTTCAAAGCAAATGTGGGCAAAGCTTTTTTTAACCTTCAGGTGCCTATTGTGTATCTTCTATTATGTTAATCCAATTCAGGTGCTGTAAAGAAGATGGCCTTGATAGAAAAATGGGAGGTCTCTTATCAAATAGGCAAGAAGGAAAGTATTCCTTGAACCCAAACAATAAAGAATGCATAAATCTATCAGACACCCCCTGATTCACATGAGTATAAGACAGGGAGGAAGTAAAGCATAATTAGACTTGCAATCTTCTGTAACTATAGTCAAATTTTATACAGGTAGTTTTAATCTTAATGTGGAGTTGACTTCTTGGTCTGATCTACATCGTAGAGCTGTCAAGCATGAAGAATCAGGACCAAATGTTAAGTTCCAGGTAAGGTGATTTACTACCCATGCCTATACTAGTCAATGAACGGTCAGCACTAAATTGGCTCTAGATAAGAGTTAACAGAATCAAGAGGAGTTGAACTTAGAACGCTTGTGGGAATGTAATGATTCCAGGCTTATTACTCCCTTTACGCCACCCACAGCTCTTCCTGACTTTCTCCTACATCTCTTGGGCCTTTGAGACAGTAAACAAGTATTCATTCACTCGGGAAAAGTGTTCACTTTTGTGTAGTGCAGTGAACAATATTTCCATGTGCTTTATTCTTATCTGAAATCAAAGGACAAATCCAGCTGAGTCATGTCTTGTGAGCCTTCTGCTGAGAAAGCCAATTCCCGAATAAGGGAATAAATGTCTGGAGAACACAGATTTACAACCAAGCTGGAGGAAAAACCTGTTAACTGGTTTCAATCCACATAATGGCTTTGCAGCTAAAAGGAATTAAAACAAATAAATACTAATGGAATGCCGGTAAATTCCAAAAATCCAACAAAACCACTTGATTTATTGAACTGCAAACAAATAGAAGGTAAGAGTTGTGAAGAAGAAATTAAGGTAAGATACAGTCATGACTGCTTAAAAATAAATGTGTCAGGTACATTAAATTGATTCGACTGCCTTAACTTCTCTGCATACATAAAAAAATACGAGGTGATCCACAGAGTCTACCATAACCTCATAAATTTTGTGAGCCATGTATCAATCCACTTAATGAGAGGAGAATCATTTCACTTGTTTCAACCTGCTACTGTAGAACTTTCCCAGGAATCAACTACAAGCCTACTAACTTTTTTCATTGCCATTGTAACTTCAGACAGACGCTGAACCAATGGTTGTAGGTCAAGGACTACCTGTAGTTGCAGATGTCTGAAATGTAGTTTTAAAAAGAATGTAGTAGGAGAGCCAGTAAATTTAAGAACCAAAACACAAGCAGAGGGTTTCTATGGGGAAAAAAATTAACTTACCAATGCATCTCACATATGCAGTTCTTTTTTATATGTTTTGTCCAGGCTGGTATTTTTTTTCAAAGAAAACAAAATTGAATAATTTATAGGACAGGCTCCTGATGAATGCTTGCTAATCGTGATTTTAAGGTCTTAACTATTTGCTCAGCAATGAGAGTTATTTCAGTTCCAATAGTTGTTCTTTAATTAGACCCAGCCTAGGTAGACATTGATATAATTTTAGCAAACCAATTGGAATAACCCAGTCAAGTTTTGTAACTAACAGTTCAAACTTGCTTATTGGTTCTGCTAGCTTATAAAAACTGGTATACAATTTTTAATGTATAAGCAATTTATTCTATGCTCTTCATCATAGACTAATCCAAGATTAAAAAAAATTTGGAAAATGTTAGGGATCAACAATTTGCTCCACAGTAATGGACTTTTTTTCATACCTCAGTAGATACAGACATGCATACCTGATTTGAGAATCGCATGCTAATGTTCCGCTGATCTTGAGGAGGAATGAAGCGCTTGACCGGGTCGATATCTTTAATGCTTACTAAACCATCAACTGAAAGCAAAACCACCAACATCAATTATTTGTCAACGGGTAATTAAGAGCATTTGTTACCACTGTACAATTTATTACTCTGAGATAGGCAAGAACCGAGATCAGCGTCTGATCAGAAACCAAAAAGGTTAATGAAATGTAGTGGCTGGACCCTAGATCATCGAATGGATCTGATCCCAGTTTGGCCAGAACACTCGGGGAGATCAGGAGTAGAATAGAATAAAAGTTTTTAAAAACATTTTTAAACATTTTTTTAACATTTTGTGATACATGTTAAAGAGAGGTGGGCCTTCAGTCAGATGGTTGTTGTCATTATCTTGACTTTTCTTTTAACTCCCTGAATACAAACTGGATAGGATAGGGATCAGATGGGATGGAATAGGAAAGGAAAGGAATAGCAATAGCAGTAGCAGCAGCGCTTAAGACTTATATACCGCTTTACAGTGCTTTTACAGCCTTCTCTAAGTGGTTTACAGAGTCAGCACATTGCACCCAACAATCTGAGTCCTCATTTTACCGACTTCAGAAGGATGGAAGGCTGAGTCAAACTTAAACCTGGTGAGGTTTGATCTGCCAAATTGCAGGAAGCCAGCAGGCAGCAGAAGTAGCCTGCTGTGCTACACTCTAACCATTGTGCTACCATGGCTCTTCATAGAAATGGAATGGAATGGAATAGAATAGAATCTTTCTTGTCACTTTAAATGTGCACTAATCAGCACCCATTAAAATGAAATTTTGTTGCATTCAGCTCTCAAAAGTTAACCATTATACATACGCCCACATATACATACACACATATATGATACGGAGAAAAATCAGTGGCTAGTTCTAATACGTCGCAGTCTGTTTCAATCCCAGAATTCAAACCAGCAGCACGGGGAGCTTATTCCGAGAGACATTTCCAACGTGTATTTTTTTTCCTCAAGGGTCCCTTGAAAAGCCATCTTGAAATCTAACACTGCACTGAGAGATAATGATCTTGAACGAACGCACTATGACAAGTCATGTGCCCGTAGGCTCCCCCCACCCACCCTCTCATTGTGCTTCAGACTTCAACATCAATAGCTTGAGAAAAAAAATCTCCTTGTCAGTTTTCTCTTTGGATGTAATAGGAAGCTACAGTTTAAAACAAGATACTGTCAGTGTTCAAAGGCAGACAAAGCAGCCTATGGAGAATACATCTGTCCAAGGCCACTGGTTTTGAGGGAGGTAGGCTGAATATTTCTGGATCATAGGTGCATCATAATTGCAGACTGCTGCAGAGCAACATGGGAGAAAAACACTATTTTCTAACCAGGCTAGTGAACTCCTCAAAAAATATCTGTTTCCTAAAACGGACAATGAACCAATGGACATTTGGCTCAAACAAACAGTGTTGTTCTTACATTGTTAAGTATAAAGGAGTTTGTTCTCAAGTTAATAAGCTGTGGTTTAGCAATTCTAGGAAACCGTGTGTGATAGAACTTCAAGAGAGCCATGGTGGCGCATTGGTTAGAATGCAGTATTGCAGGCTAATTCTGCTCACTGCCAGGAGTTCGATCCTCACCACCTCCAGATTGACTCAGCCTTCCATCCTTCCGAGGTCGGTAAAATGAGGACCCAGATTGTTGGGTGCAACTCTGTAAACTGCTTAGAGAGGGCTGTAAATCACTATGAAGCGGTATATAACTCCAAGTGCTATTGCTAAAAGATCCCTCAGTAATCCAGGAACTTCTTCACGCAGCTTCTAAAACTCACGAAGTCATCATAGGTGCAGGAAAACCTTATCCAAATAGGAGGACATTCTGATTCTTTGGTAGGTATGCTTACTTACCGAGAAGTTTGGCAATAATATAGAGGGACTGTCCCAACAGAAAATACTTTCCATCCCGCCCGTGGTTGCTAGGAAACCTTTTCTGGCTGCCAGGGTTTTTCTTTTCCAGTTCAACAAAATCAGCCGGTACGTGGTAATATTTAGGTACAACCGGATAGCCTGCAAATGTTGAAACAGACTAGTTAAAGAGGAATAAATAGAGGGACATGGGCGGTTGGAGAAAAAAGAAACAGTGTAAAGAATAAATAAATAAACACACGTACATCAAAAGAAGCGCCAAAAAAGAAGCATGGTGAATGAAGTAACGCTACCGGTGCTAATAATCATTCTGTGCTGTAGCTCACTAAAGATACAAACCGCCATCTCGATTTACACCTTGAGTGAACAGCTGCAATGCCTATAAACTGGTTCTAGGAGGAGGGGGGGGGAAGGTAATTTTTGACAGATGGGAAAAACTGTGCTTTTTTTTTTTAACAGGTACCACTCTTATGCTGGTGCTACGGATCAGAAATATTTACAACTGCTATTAGTGAAATGAAAAGCCATAATGAAAAAGGAGTTTAGGAATGATATAGAAAAGACTTCATCTGCATTCTTCAATATAATGCTTTAAACCTGATCCCTCAATACACTGATTTTTTTTTTATAACATCGTCACATATAACTATGTGACGATGTTAAAAACTCAGTGTATTGAGGGATCGGGTTTAAAGCACTGTATTGAAGTATGCAGATGAGGTTTATAACTCAAATACATATTTTCAGATATATATCTATACATATATCTATATCTGTATCCATTTCTATATCTATATCCATAAATCTATCTATATCTATATCTATATCTATCTACCTACCTATCTATCTATATTGGATGTATATCTATATCTGAAAATATATAACTATTTGGGGTACAAGTATTTGTATTGGTAATGCAAGCAAGAAGTTGCGTTTTGAAATGTTTATATAGTGTATGCACATTTAATTAAATTATATATTGTTTCATGCAAATGGCACCATCTGGGATTTAAAGCCATTTTTTTAAAAAAATATGGTTAGTATTACATGACGCAGTGGGACATTGGGCAGGATTTAAAATGGAAACAATAGGCTGCCATGAAACTTTGTAAAGAAAAGCATCTTACTTTCTAGAATGGTTCTAAAAGGTGGGAAACAGAGAAAGGGCTAAAATAATTCACTGTGGTTGTTTTAATCAGCCAGATTCAGCTAAAACAAAAAGCACCAGGCAAACCATGAATGGAGAGGAGTTGACAGAATAAGAACAAAAGGATGATTTCTACAAGAGATGCTCAACAATTCCTTTCTGTTAATTTCAAAGGGAATGCTTTTATTATATTGATGTGGGAAGCAGGCAATCAAATCACAAACGTAACTGAAATGGAAACCTTTTAAAATGAACTCAGAGCTCTTTTCAGAACCACAAATTCCCCTTGAGAAAGGTGAGTAAAGGTAGCCCCAATGCTTCTTTCCTATTTAAAGTCTTCATCTTGCAACACCTATTGTGTCATGATTCAGCCCTAAGACCAAGTGTACTAGGGGACAGCTTCTAGACTAATGTTTTGCCAATTTTGGCAACTTTTAAGATGGGTGGATTTCAACTCCTAGAATTCCCCAGCCAGCCGTTGGCTGGGGAATTCTGGGAGTTGAACTCCACCCACCTTAAGGTCATCCAGGCTGGAAAACATGGTTCTAGGGGATCAAGAAATGTGACTTCCTTTGCCATGACCAGATATTATATGGATCCACTTCCCCTTACTCAATTTACTCATTCTACAATACCTTCTCCTTCAGGATGGTTTGGTCTCACACACAAGGTGGGTTGTACACAACAGAAGGAGAGGTGGCTAATGGCTCTTGAGCCACTGGATATTTAAACAATGGATGTTTCATTCACTGGGCATTTTCTCCTGAGGCCCATTGGAGAAAAGAAATTAATGTGACATCATATTTATCCTGGACCTGAATTCTTCTACCAGTAAGCACCTGAGTCTTTTTCCTAGCATGGGACTGGCATTTGCTACATTGATTAGAAACATGGTTGAGGACTTCTGATCCAGAGATCTCCATACCTTCAGCTGATTGTTGCAGTATAGGATCCAGAAGGTCCTGGTACTCTTTGACTTGCTCAGGGAGACCCCGGAAGAGCCCTAAAAGCAATCCAAGGACACTTTATTAGCAAGACTCGTCCCTTTCTAGTTGACTCAGCAGTTAGGTGATCAAAATTCAAGAAGCTTGGCAACTAATTCATTTTACAACGGTTGCAGTGTCCCGGGGGTCACGTGGTCCCCTTTTGGGACCTTTTCACAAGCAAAATCCGTGGGGGAAGCCAGATCCACTTAACAACCATGTTACTAATTTAACAATCGCAGTGATTCCCCTTAACAAACTGCACCAGAAAAGTCTGTAAAATGGGGCAGAAGTCACTTGCAAACTGTCTCGCTTAGCCTCAGAAATGTTGGTCTCCATTGTGGCCGTTAAGTCAAGGACTACCTGCACGTCGATATGGCTTACAATTTGCCCTTGGTAACATGGGCTGACACAGGCAGACCAGGGCTTAAATCCTGCCAAGGTGGCAATGGACACCAAAACCACAAACTGTGGCTTGCAGCCAGTGGTGAGATTCACCCTGTGTAACAAACAGTTTGGTGGGCACGTGCTCACAGAGTGCTTTTGAAAATAGAAGGAAAACTTACCTTTTACTGCAGCCCAGGTGAGTAAAAACAGCGCAGCAATCCGGGCTGCCACGCCGATCAGCTGGGCTTCAAACAAAGGAAATATAGCACAGAATAGAACAGGGGCAGATGGGTGGGGCCAAACCAGAGGTGGTATTCAGCAGGTTCTGACCAGTTCTGGAGAACCAGTAGCGGAAATGTCGAGTCGTTCGGAGAACCGGCAAATCCCACCTCTGACTGGTCCAGCACCCATCTCTTCTCTGTCTCCCATTGAGTCCCAGCTGATCGGCTGGGTCTTCTTGCGTTGCCCTGCACAGGAGAAGAGAGCTGGAAAGCAGGTTAGTGGGGTGGGGAGGGAATGGAGATTTGGCAGTAACTTTCCCCTGCCATGCCCACTAAGTCACACCCAAGAACCGGTAGTAAAAAAAAATTAATCCCACCCCTGGGCCAAATAATTGACAGAACTACCAGTTCACCTGAACTGGTTCATACTGGCTGAATCCCACCACTGCTTACAGCCGACAAAGATCAGAAAGAGAGAAATGCCATAAAAGAAAGGGGGAAGATGGAAGGATAGATGGGAGGGATGACTCACAAGGTATTTTCCTATTACACATTCTCTCTTATCATATATGGGCATACGTATAATTTTTCATGGATTATACTGTACTACCCACTACTTCCCTAGTTGAAAATAATTTCCCTGGAAGGTAGGGGGTTATGAAATGCCAGATGGACTTCCTGCAGTTTTGTCATGATTACACTGTTAGGCTTTGATCTGTACAGAATTTTCTTTTAGTGACATTTGTCTATAATTCACACTTTGCCAGTTGTTCCATTTCCTCTTTCCAGGGGAAAGTTTTTTTTGGGGAGAGGCTGGGAACTTTGTGGATTTCAAATTCTGCATTTCTTTGAAGATAAAGGTCATGAAGGAGTGTGTGTGTGTGTGAAATGTCTTTGAAGCTACATGAGATTTTAATAAAAGTCATTTATTTGATTGCGATTGATCTCTGAAAACCCAAAACCGGCTGGCAGGTATCTAAACAGCATCACACCAACCGGATGCTCACATGGGAAGATCTACCTAAAACAACCTTCTGTAAGTTCGCTGACCTGGCTGGGGATGATGGGGGATGAGTTCCAATTAGTTCCTGTTGTACTTGTTGACATTGATGGAGGGGCTCTTGTGGGAAACACAACACTGTTTTTGCACTAGAGACTTCCCAAAACTTTTCAAAATTTCCAAATCATAAAGAAAAAATACTTTAGCTTGTTACCCTTAATTGTACATCTATAACTGCTGTGTGCAACCGAACATAGTGAGAAATAAAGCTCACCACAGAAAAATAGTTTATTCCATCAAAGATAAAGGCAAAGATTTCCCCTGTCCAGCCGTGTCTGACTCTTCTTAAATGACTGTCCAGTCTCCTCTTAAAAACCTCCAGTGATGATTTCTGGTGGCAAGCTGTTCCACTGGTTAATGGTCCTCAATGTTAGGAAGTTTCTCCTTAATTCCAGGTTGCTTCAATCCTTGATGAGTTTCCATCCATTGTCTTGCCTTCTGGTGCTTTGGAGAATAATTTGACCCCCTCTTCTTTCTAGCAGCCCCTCAAATATTGAAATACTGCTATCATCCCAATTCTTCTTTTCTTTAGACCAGCCAGACCCAAAACCTGCAGCCGTTCTTCATATGGTTTAGTCTCTAGAGGACAGTGTTCATTTCCATTTCTTAGTATTGTCCAAAGACATTTCCATGGTCATGGAACTACATGCTGAGGCACTCAGAACGCTGTCACCTTCCCTCCAAAGTGGTACCTATTTATCTACTCGCATTTGCATGCTTTTGAATGACTAGGTTAGTAGGAGCTGGAGCAAGAAACGGGAGCTCGCCCCATCAATGCAGCACTCGGGACTCGAACCTAGGCTATCAGCTTTCCAGCTGACAAGCTCAGAGTCTTTTAACTGCTGAGCCATCGCACCCTCTTGATTCCATAGCTAAATTCATTTTGCTTATGTAGGTGCAGCATTATTACTGAAAATTTGGCATAAGCAATTACAATCTATCTCTTGGTTTGCCTATATGTATGTATGTATGTGTGTGTGTGTGTGTGTGTGTATATATACACACACACACACACACACACACACACACATACATACACACACACACACAAAAAAAACCCCACATCCACCCATTTATTTCTGCACATTCCAACTCTCTTCCCTGACACAATAAGAACACAAAATCATACTTACCATCAATCATCATAAAAATAAAAAAGAGAGGAAATTCGCATTCAATGCCGTCAAAGAGCTGAAAGTTGTTTTAAAAAGAAAAGAAAAATAAATATATGTAACAGGCGTGCTGCAGTTTTATTTACGGAAACATATTCAAGCAATCTATTATGAGTTCAAAGGAATGAAAGATACCCATGAAAACAAATTATTCGTTTTAAGTACGGCAACAACTTACATGAAGAAAGAGAAGAGAAAAAAAAGATAATTCATCTAGCTACACACACACACACACACAAATTTCCAACTCTTTCAAAACGCGGAACAAAAATTTTATGAGTAAGATTTATCGTATCGTGCTTCTCCACAAAGGAATTCCATTTAAATTAAAAATAATATGAAAAGTGAAGGAAAAAGGGGAACTTCATTCAGACAGCTCTTAATGGAAAGCATTAATATTCAGTGCCATATCAAAATTTTATTATTAATACACTCCAGTCTGTAGCCAGCTGTGAAATTAAATGATAAATAATGTGACTATCTGTGACAGGAAAGAAACTATACATTGATCCTGAAATCCAAACACATTCACCTTTAAACAAATCAATCAGGAAGAAATATGCTGATACAATATATTAAGTATTGCACATCCAAAATGCAAGCCATGTCTCCTTCACTAAAATAGATGGCAAGGAAGTGCCAAAGTTAATAGCTTGTATGATTTGTTTAGCTTCTTCCCACTCCACGATACATCAAAGCAATTAACATTTTCCTTGGGTTCTGTCAAAACATGCAACCACATCAGGAGAGCATGGAGAAGAACACGACAAGAGCATCTAAAGCTCAAGTTCCCTCCATAGATTTGACAGAGCTAAGTCATGTTGAAGTTGAGTCTAAGGGATGGAATGGATTCTGCGCTACTTGTCCTCAGAATGGGACAACTTGCCACGGCCAACTCACCATGGCCAACTTGCCTCAGCTAACTCGTCAGGGGACAGCTCGCTGTGGTCAACTTGCTTCGGAACAACTGGCAAACTCAACAATTCAATTCAATTATTTAAAATGATTTAAAAATTGCTTTAATTTTTGTCATTCGCTTTTCATTTTGTCCCTTCTCTTGCACCCCTTTCTTGATTCTACTGCACCATTTCCTTGATATTAATGTAACTCTTGTCTGGGAGCGAGTTGGCCATGATGAGTTGTCCTATGGTGAGTTGGCTGTGAGGAGTTAACCCATGGTGAGTTGGCCAAGGCGAGTTGGCCATGGCAAGCTGTGGTAGACCCACATGTCCTGCCCTCTATCTGTATGTCTCCATACAGGTAGATTGCATTTTGGAATAGGGTACATGGTTCAGGTAATTCTTCATTACACAGGTATAATGATACACTCTTCATCCCTTTGTATCGGTGACAGATTGAAAATGAGCCAAAGGAATACATATTGTTACTTGTAGGTGTATAAAATAGTCATGAGTTGAGCTTGGCCACTGGCTATCCAGTCTTTTGTTACTAACCAATGGATCAATGGTATTCTAATGTCTCAAAGTTTATCTCTATCCTATGTCTTTCTGGAAATTCAGGACAATGGGTGTGTAGGGGAGGCATGCCTTGAATTTTCAGAAAGAAAGACTTATAATTATATCAACAATAACTCAACATTTGTCTTTTTTTGTTAATTCAGTTACAAAAGTGCTGAAGCGTTGTCCTTCTCTAGCATCTTAAAAACATGATATAAAAATCATTGTTAAATCTGCCCTAAGGAGTCAACAGCAATGTCAGTAAATTGCAAATATTAGAATCTGACATTCAGAATCAAGCTAATTGGCACTACAAAAATTACTTAAAGTGGGCAAACCTGGAATTTCTTTGCCTAGTTATTGTAATAAACAGAGGTCAACAAAAACAAACTCACAGGTCTTGCATACTAGCATTTATGAACACGCATTCATTCTTTCCCATATCACAGAAACAAGGTCATTACCTTAATTTCTGCCGGTTTATAGTACTGTCGGTTTTTGTCCTCCAACGCGGTTCTATAGCCATCTCTCAAAAAACGCTTAAATCCATATTTTCCTTTGAGTTTCCTAACTATCTTATCAATTGTTTGACTGTACAAAGCTTCATCGTCCACAGCAAATGCAGGATAGCTGATGCAAGGTAAGAGGGCAGCATCAGTGTTCTAGCATAACAAAAAAAGAAATGTACCTAAATAATGGATGAACATTCTCAATGCAATGGATGGTGATAAGAACACTGACCTCTATGTGGTATCTACATGTTCAAGAGGTCATACATAATAATTCCAAACCAAGTACTCTGAGTGTTTCTCAGCCATCCAGGTCATGGTTGTCTCCAAGGTGCTTTTTCAAAGGGCAACTGGACTTTTTTTTTCCTGGAAGAAGTTTTGCTTCTTCATCCAAGAAGCTTCTCCAGTTCTGATTGAAAGAAGCTCCTTGGATGAGAAGCGAAATGTGTTCCAAGAAAGACAAAGTCCAGGTGCCTTTTGAAGAAGCAACTTTGGGACACTGTGTATTTTGGAATGATTTTTTTTAAACAGTTTTTCTTAGTTTAGCATACAAAAGAAAATACAGAAGTAAATAGTAGGGAAAATAGGGAAGGGAAAAGGGAGCGAAAGAAAAGGGGGAAAAGAAAAAATAAGTCCCTTTAGTGCAGTAGAATAAGGCATTGACATAAAGCCTCAACTTTTTCCTTTACCTAATAGTATAAACTAACCATTTCTATATGTTTTGGAATAAATTTTGAAGTCTGCCAATTATAGATTTTTTTTCCTATTAATTCTACATCTAAAGTTGTGTTCTATTAGGAAGGGGAATAACGGATGGGTTCTGACTTGGAAATCTATGTGGACATTACTTTACGTGAAAATTTGATGGCGAAAATGTCTGAAGATCTGGCTTGGTCAACTGTGTTGGGGCCCCAATGTAAGCACATCATTCTTGAAGTTGTTTAACGGACAAAGATAAGACCTCACCTCTCCTCCCACGTGCATTTTGTTCCTTCTTCCCCATCAATTTTTGTCCACTGTTTATTGTTTTGACGTCTTAATGTTTTTATTATTTTTAATAGAAATCTTTAGGGTTTTTTTATTTTAAACTGCTTAGAGTAGTTATCAGGTGAGATGGGCAGCATCTAAGATAGATGGATGGATGGATGGATGGATGGATGGATGGAGGGAGGGAGGGAGGAAGGAAGGAAGGAAGGAAGGAAGGAAGGAAGGAAGGAAGGAAGGAATTATAGACTTCAGAGAAACAACACAAGGTGCTTCATTGATCTCTGAAGTCTACATACATGCAAGGTGGAGATCCATTCCATATCCAATGAGATCAACTTTCATTGCTTTATCTATTCAACAACTACAGAGTCATCAAAATTGAAACCACAGGGGTTTAAATAAAGAAGCATATACATACGTTGGAATGTTTACAGTGACTAGAGCTCTAAAATATTAAAATATTATAATAAAACAAAGCAATGTTTAGTCAGTTACTGAGAGAGTGAAGAGATTTTCTAAATACATAATCAAGGGTGGGGAGTTTTGTGTTTTTTTTTTATATTATCGGCAATCTCTCTAAGGGAAATTTTGCAATGCAAGTTTGCAAACAAAAACTGATTACGTTATTAGCAAAAGCAGTCTTATGTTTTTCTCTCTCATCTCTTGCTTTTGATTTTTTTTTTGTTCATCACTTTTTGTACTTTTTATGCTTTCCATAATGTTGGTTACTCCAGAAAGGAACAGGATGATGCTATTTTATATTATGTACTGCAAAGAAAAACCCAAGTAAGCTTATAAATTAAATGACTATTCAAATCCCTGGAAAAGATAAAAAGTTCTTAAAACAGGGGAGACAATACAGAGAATAAATTTCGTTCCTTTGTTGGTTCCATGAAAATATTTATGGTAGCAATAAAAATTAAAGAAACTGTGAGATTAAATGAATTAGATTTTGACCCATAGGATAGTCCCAATCTTTAAACCTGAAGAAATTTATATTTATATTTATATTTATTTATTTATGGCATCTAGGATTTGAAAGTGAAGTATTTTTCCTTGAAGGAAGCATTGAGAATTGTTTGCTGGAATTGTCCAAAGCTGCATGCCAATCCTGCCCATTTTAAGATAATGAAATGGAATGTATTGTTATGCTAATGAGAAGCATCTAATACTGAAATGGCTTTCAGCAACTCTTAACCTGTTAGAAAATATCATCCCCGAATCCAAGTATAACTATTAGCCCCCCAAATAACTAATTACATATTTCTAACCTAGAAGAGTTCCTGGATTTTCAAAATTGAAATGGAAATTGAATGCACAATGAAGATAAATAAATGGGGGGCGGACGTGTCTTGTTCATGCACTAGGGATGGTGATATGTTCCAATCTGAAGTTCTATTGCAAATGCATCAGAAATTCTGGAAGTCGGATGGATCCACCTATATATTGCTTAATAACGAATGATTACGATTGGAAAACTTTAAAAAAACAACGTTATTTTCCTTCTTATAACACTTATAAAAGATGAGTCTGCCATAAGGAAGATCTCCTTTACACAGTTCTTTCTGGGGGGGGGGGGGGGGGGGAACAGATTCTAATTCTGTCTAACGATAAACCTTATTAAAATGGATAGTAAAATGTATCCCTCTATGTTAGACGTGAACATGCTGTTGGAAGTTAAAACCCACCCCTCTCCTAAAAAAAAAATGAAATATTTTGGGATACACTAAAAAGGCAGAATATTTCCCCTAAAAGAGAAGTAGAAACTCTGAGAGGCAGGAACTCAGCCCCCACCCCTTTGTTAATGGGCCATTAAAGGCTGGTCCAGTCTATTCTACATAACAAAGATCTACGTCCTTCAGGCAGAGCCATTCAATTGCCCTTCTTTGCACCACCCACCAAGTTTCAACCAAACTTAGCACACAGACAACCTACAAAGCTAGCTGTGACCTCTGACAGCAACCAATCAGGATACTCTTCCTGTGCCCCTAGGAAGTTCAAATCCCAACAGAGGGTATAAAACCCAGGGACTCTCAGCATCTCTTCCCTTTTTCGTCGCCCAGGAGTTCCCAGGCATGGGATCCTGTCCACCATTAAGCCATCTTTCCAAACAGCCTCCATGTTTCCAGTGTCTTTCTCCCCACTTGGAACTGAACCCAGATTTCTTTCAACAATACTTAACATTTTGCTTACGTGAGATCGTGATTCACGAGGGAGCAATGAGCAAAGGGTTTGCCTGTTCCGGTTATGAGCGTCAAGATCCACAAAGATGACAGACCACGAGCAACCCTGTGGACGGAGCAGAAAATCAATGCTAAACAGGACATGTGTCGCAATAACTGGAATAGCCAGTTATTATTGACAAAGTGTACAAATTATCCGGATAATTAGATTACCAGTGGCCATTATAATCCGGTAATTTCAAACAGATGATGACATTTCCAAGACAAATGTATATAACTCTATTTCATTACTATTAAAGGACTCGTACACATCGGGTGTAAGTGAAATTGCCAAAAAGTAATCCTCCAGAATTATTTACAACTGCTACTCAAAGTTTTTTGTGTGCTTTGCAAGAAGCATCATTCTGCAGTCCGTAATTTGAAAAAAGTAAAAACAATCTGATCAAATATCGATTTGGCCGCAGGACAGTGGATGTGACATATCTAGAAATGAGGTGTTAAATAACATAGGAGGCTGTGAGTTCGATCCTTGGTAGTGGCAGATATTTTTCTCTCTGGGCACATTGAGTAATTATCTGATGCAAATTCCGCATTGGTGACAGGAAGGGCATCCGGCCAGTAAACACTCCGCTCCATTCAGTGGCCTCGATTCCACCCCGATATAAGGGATTACGGGATCATGAAAAGACAAAACAAACTGTAGTAGTTTTCCATCTGCCAAAGGAACTCATGAGCCCTCACTTAAACTTGTGTGATAACTTCTGTACTCAAAACAAAATCTAAAAAAAAAATTAAAATTGCAGTTTTCAAAGCCAAGCCGAGGCTAACCACCTCAGATTGTTTTTGTTAGATGTACAATTAGGTTACACCGCTCCTTAACACAAGCAAATCGCTCTCCCACATGTCTTTATTCAATTATATATTTTCAAGTGTTTGATCAACGGAGATATGAAGAAAACTACCCTGCATATCTAATTATGCATTTTGCAGTAGTTCGCTTTGTGATAAAGAGAATTTATAATATGGAGAGGATTTGCCAATTAATCCAGATAAGACTAAACAACACATGGGCAAACATTAGCATCCCAGTGGGCCTGTTCATAGACAATGAGTTTCCATCAAGAGATAAAGAGGACTTTATTCCTTCAAGATCTCTGAAAGATCTCCTGATCTTTCGATACAGACATTCAACATCCCCAGGGCCTACAACATCAACTATTCCTCCCTCTTTTTCAGGGATGTTACATTGGTACATTTCTGATTAGCGCTCCCCACTCAAGTCCCAAAATAAAAAAAAATGACAAGTATAATGGGTATGTTAGCGTAACACATATATGGAATGTATACTGTTGACTAGAGCACTTATTTGTGTTAGCCTGAAGAAGGCTACAATGGAGGGAAAGCTTGGTGATGACCTCCAGCTGAGTGCCTCAACCCCACAATTCTCTCCCAGATCAGTTGCTGGAGCAACCACAACCCCTGGAAAAGTTGTCCTGGGATGGTAGGCCGCATCAGTTGCCAAGGCAACGCTAAGCAGATTCCAGGAGCACTGGGAGAAGCAGCACTGAAAAAGCTGGCTTCGTTTAAAATAGATCAAGAAAGCAGAAGACATATTGGCTCCTGAGGGAAACTAAATTCTTCTTGCGCACACAGGCCTTGGAAATCAAGAGGCACATCTACAAAGCAGGTTTCTTATCACAAGGAAGCCTCATCCCATCCCTGAAAGTTGTCTCTCTCGATCCTGACTAGGAAATTGCCTCAGTTCAAATCAGAGAAAAAAGAAGAGAGGAGTTTTTGACCAACAAGGCTAGCATTGGTATCAAATCACCAAGTAGGGCTGTTATTGTCATAGTAGACTCAAAGCCTCTGCCTCTTCTAGAGAAGCATACAAGGAGTCCTTTGACTCGGGACAGGGGTGGCTAACCTTTTTGGGCTCCTGTGCCAAAAATAGTGTGCGCATGCCAGCAGGGGTGGGATTCTACCAGTTCGCGCCTATTCACTAGAATTGGTTGTTAATATTCTAAGCAGTTCGGAGAACCGGTTGTTGGAAGAAATTATTGGCCTAATCCTGTAAGGAAGGCAGGAAGGAAACATTCTGGTGTTGCTTACGGAAACTGCCTCTCCGTTAACCCTTATTACATTCTTGGCAGGACTAGACTTCCTGTCTCAGGAACCTCTCTGGAGTTTTTTTCCCCTCCTTTGCTGGTACTTTGTTGTGTGGAGTAACCATTCAAAGTTACAATGGCACTGAAAAAAGTTACTTATGACTGTTTTTCACACTTATGACTGTTGCAGCATCCCCACAGTCATGAGAGGCCTGGCAAGGAGATGCGTGCCTCGATGTGAGTGATGTTGAGTTGGCCACGCCCAGGCAATAACATGACCACCAAAACACGTCCACTCAGTCACATGACCACCAAGCCACGCCCACCACCTAAGCCACGCCCACAGAACCGGTTCTTTAAAATTTTGAATCCCACCGCTGCCTCTGCGTGCCACTTCTGCCATAGGTTCACCATGACGGACTTAGGGCCACAACTGAGCCCAACATTTCTGCTGTTAAGGGAGACGTTTGCTAAGTGAGTTTTGCCCCATTTTAAGACCTTCCTTGCCACCGTTGTTAAGTGAATCGCTGTAGTTGTTGAGTTAGGAACACGGACGTTGAGTGAATCTGACTTTCTCCCATTGGCTTTGCTTGTCAGAAGGTTGCCAAAGGGGATCGCATGACCTTGGGACAACGCAACCATTGTAAATATGAACCAGTTGCCGAGCCTCTGAGTTTTGATCCGTGTGACCATGGGGATGCTACAAAGGTCATAAGTGTGAGCTTAGCCCACTTAGAGAGGGCTGTAAAACACTATGAATTGGTATATAAGTCTAAGTGCTATTGCTACTGACTTAACTGAAGTGCTTCACTTAACAACTGGGGCATGAAAGGTCGTAGAATGGGTCGAACTTCACTTAACCAACGTCTCGCTTAGCAACAAAAATTTGGGGCTCAATTGTGCTCCTAAGACAAGGGCTGTCTGTGCACGGGATAGATACTCAATTGTGTTCCTATTTCCTATCCTGACACAGCATGGTTTCCTACTTGGTCTGCCTACATTGGCATCTTCCTCTCTCTCTTTCAATAGGTAAAAGACAATGAGGTTTAAGAAATTGTGAGCTGGGCTTTACAGCATTTGCTTAGAATAGAATAGAATAGAATAGAATAGAATAGAATAGAATAGAATAGAATAGAATAGAATAGAATAGAATAGAATAGAATAGAATAGAATTCTTTATTGGCCAAGTGTGATTGGACGCACAAGGAATTTGTCTTGGTGCAAATGTTCTACAGGCCTACAGGTAAGAAGCTTATCTGGCTTGTTATAAAGAAAGTTTCTGTCCTTAGGACTGCCTGCCGCCTACAGCTATATTTCAAAGCTCTCTCTCAGTTCTAACGTCTGGCAGGGTGATTCATTCCTGGCAGCCTGAACAGCAGGATGGGAGAAGGGAAGGAAGAGGAACAGAATAAAAGAAGTGGATGTTCAGAAACAGAGAAGGCAAGGCTACAACTATGTGGGGTTCCGTCTGTCTCCCTGGCTCTTTGCCAGGACTGAATGCAGTTTGCCTGCGCTAACTGCATTCTCAGAAAATAAAGATTGCCAGATGTAATCTGGGTCGGTCCCCGGGACCAGAGGTTTTGTCTTCCCAGCTTTCGGACTCGTGCTGGAGCCCGTCTGTCAGGGTTCCGACGGATGCCCTAATTAATTCATGAGCCTCAAGCCAAGTTTCAAAAGAAATCCAATTATTTATTAGGAGCAACATGCTGGCACTTTTCCCAAGTGCAGTTGGCTCTGCCCTACGTAATTTACTGCCGACCTATGACCCTGTTTCCTCCCTCCTCCCAGGGTGTGTCATAAATCACATTCTCCAACTAAGCGCTTTCATGGGCTGTAGAAAGCACGCCTCTCTCTGGCTGGCTCTGGTAACCTGGGACACACTCTGGAGAAAGGTATGAGTGGAATGTGCTTTTGATCATAGCAACCGAACTGCTCCATCAGATCTCAGCTCCCCTCCTTCTTATGGCAACTCGAGACCAGGCCAGGAATGCTTTACGAGTTGACATTATCTTTTTAAGCCCATTTCGGACTTCTGCTGGAGCCCATTGCTCTATAGCAAAGTGTGATATTCTACACTCCGCTAGAGAGGTTCCCTGAAGATGGGCTGCAGCACAACTCCAAACGCTTGGAAGACAAAAACCTCTGGTCCCGGAGACCGACCCAGATTGGATCCTGCAATGTTATCCTGGGACACCTTCATTCGTGGAGAGAGAGAGAGAGAAAAGATCACGGGTTAATCCTGCTGCAAAGGCTCTTCCTTTGATGAATATATTCAAGGCATTCTCTCACGGCTGCAAATCTGTCCAAAGATCTCATCCAAAGGATTACCCACAAATCTGATGCAACGGAGCGACTAAATCGCCATTTCCCCAACTCAAGTCTTTTAATGCAAGGCAGTTCTACATTCGTGGAAAGCATTCGGAAAACCAGCAAACTGCCCTTTGATATTTCAAGGACAAATAGCGGCCATCTACAAAACCCCCATCTCCCAAATCTTGCAGGCTGAGACTTAAATGAAACATGAAGAGTTGCTTTGTACTTGCTAGCTGTTTAGGCGGTCCTATTATCTGGCTGAAGTCGAAAGAGGGCCACATCTACATCTGTACTTATTTTGCAGAGTGCATGGCGAGATTTGCTGGTCCCTGGTCCCTTGTTATTTTAGTTGGGAAAAACCATGTATGGCTGCTCATAAAGAACTCACATTAAGCTTTATTTTATCATACTTAATTTTCTGCTTTATGAATTACATTCTCATCCAGCCTCTCATTTAAGACTAGTGGTGCAGAGACACCATGGATTACAGCACACAAAAGCCTCCAGAGATGGAGCCCCCACAGCTTCTAAAAGCAAGCCATTCCACTGGTTTATTGTTCTCACAGTCAGAAAAATGTTCCTTAGTTCTAGGTTGCTTCTCTCCTTGCTTAGTTTCCAAGCACTGCTTCTTGACTTGCTTTCTGGTGCGTTGGAGAATTCCTTGATTCCCTCTTCTTTGTGGTAGCCCCTCACACACTGCTATCGTGTCACCC